GAGAAAATAGAACTGCGACATTGAAGTCCAATTGTTCTTTGAGATTATAATTTTAAGCGAAAAATAATTCTAGAACAAATAAATATTCTACAAATTTTGTCATCGAAAACAATAGAGATATTCACCGATCTTTGAATTTTAACACGATCAGATGGAAAGTCTTTAAAGATACTATTCAATGTTTACTATATTTATTATGTGTGTTATTCATACTTTACTAGTAGCTCGCATACACCGGATTCAATCTCAGTCCGGCTGTAACCGGATCTCAACGTAAGTCAGCTAAGTCAAACCTATTCTGAATTGAATCCACCAGAGCTTAGACCTGATGTCCCTCAAATCTGATCTGAATATTAATACCGCAGATTCCGTTGTCAAGGTTGAAGTGGAAACTGTTATTAAATTTAAAATTAAATAACAGTTCGAGCAACAATGCGCAGACGAGATTGTTTTAATAGCGTGGCTGTCGCTTGTGAGTCTTGGAACAGCGAATTAGCGATAAATCAAAAGAATTCGCCTCGATTGTAAGATTTTATTCGAAAGAAAACTATATTTTAAAAAGCATATTTTTCTCTGGAGAACAAATGGTTAACATTTCGAAATTTTGAATTTTAAATGGGGTTGAAAGGAGGGGAAAAGTAGAGAAAAATTAATATTAAACTCCAAGTGTCGTTATTTCATTATTTATTTTCATCAAACTATTTATCAGTACCATTTGTAATGTGAAATTGAAAGAATATATTCTATCTATAATTCGATCCTTAATTAATGTTTTTCCTGTTAACGTAATACCACCTACATAATCCGCTTTCCATGATAATTATAAACGAAACAATGCTGTATGTTCTGAAGAGTTTTCATTATTCACCTGATTCCATTCACGTGGCTCCCCGTACATAATTATAATCATGCAGGACTAAATTATAATTAAAACAGTTCCTCTTTATTTATTTGATTCCATTTACATGCCTCGCCAAATACAATTCCAGTTATAAGCTAAAAACGAAATAATATGCCGTGTGGCGAATAATTTTTCTGCACATCCATAAACAGCAGTGATATTTACGTGACTCCGTTCACGCGTCGGGTCTCGTGTATGCTCAAGTCTCGCTGCTAGTTTCTTACCCTACTTTCCAATAAAGTGCTGGTCGTGTCGCATGCGGTTCCTTTTTTATTAAAAAAAAGGTACCACGCGGGCTTTGCAAAAATTGTCCGTGCACTCGTGCACGAGCAACAGTGGGAAAGAATTCTTTAATCCTCCGTTGTTTAAAGCGTTCTCTGTTTTTCATTTTGGAACTTACCGTAATTCGATAATGGCACTTCTCCAATTCATTTGAAAGCATTTGGAAATCATGAAAATTTTATAACTATTCACAGCAAAATATTAATATTTCAATAACATATTATTACTGCCAAGCAATGTTCACTGCTAAATTTTGTTACGTACACACGTGTAATTTATTCCAGTACAATTTATTCCAGAATATTTGACGTGCCCGCATACCTTAATTGAGTAAACAAAAATTATCGAAGTGCATAATTATTACAATGAAAATTAGACAATTTCAGACCGCGAATGGTTAACTTTTTGCACTAGAATAAAATGCCACGCGCATCACAAACAAAATCGATGTACACATATATAAAATATTTAACAAAGCAGTACTTAAATTAATAAATTAAATAATTATCAATAATTAACTTAATTCCACTGATCCAAAAGTATCGAAAAGCGATGAAACAAAAGTACACGATCGGCATCATTAACCAATCACTATCAATTTCCACCGATCAACGCACAATCATCTTTCCAAACGATTTCCATACCGAAATAATGAATATAATTAAACTCAGGCGTACGACGAAACGTATCGAGGACACGCGTGCAGAAATAAAACGCATACTGTCACGAGTGCGCCTGATCGGAAAGTAAAATACCAGACGTGGCCGTGGCGGCACAGTTTTTTCCGCAGCGCGTGGCCACGCTCGTAGAAGAATCTCGTTACCGTCATCGCTTCGGAATAAGCTGCGGGAATGATTTCAAAGGGTCCACTGTATATATACTTGCGCGCCCGTTCCCGGCAATGATATACCTCCTGCCGGTGGAATTTGGTTTCATGCCAAACGTCCATGTACTCGGGAGACGTCTCGAAGTATTTACTTTCTTCTTATTTCATGTCGAGATTTGGATCCGGGGGGGTGAGGGGCACAACGGAGCAGAACGGAGAAGGGACGGTTGAAGGGAGAACGAAGGGAGAGAAAGAATAAGGACCGGGGCCGCGACGCCGAAACTTTCCCCGTTGGATTGCTCGGTTTCAGACCTACTAAGACAAAGCGCTCATTTGTTTCAACTTTCTTCGACGTGCGAGAATTCCCGAGCAGGGGAATACCGTATCCGCAAGATCATAGAAAGAAATATAGGGGATTAGTCGTAAACTAGGTGTTTTTTGGTGTTACAAACGAAACACCGTTGCGTCAACGTTCCTCGAAATCTTTCAAGGGATCGCTGATCTGAAACTGAGCCGGAGCATTCGCCGTGGCTAACTGCGACGCTCAACGAATTGAAAATGAAAATAGAACGAGGGTTACGCGCGTAAAGTTATTTAGTAGGGGGACACGACCTTAATGAGTCCGACGGAACGTTTGTCGGGAAACGTCGCAAACCACGCTGAAAACGACTTTAATTCTCCTCGAGATTAGTAGTCGGATTGAAGCCATACGAGTTCGAAGGATTTTGAATCGGTTCTATTGTTCCGCCAAACTAGCGGAGCTTTGTCACCGCGACTTGTAATTAACGGGTTAATTGTGCAGAATTTAGAACTGTCCGCAACTTTCGACGACTGAGTGTAATGGCGCCCGTAATAAGTCCGCTGCGAATGTTTATGTGGATTCACGCTCTTTAGGATAAATTCCATGGTAATGGGAAGTAGAAGACTTTTACTTTGTCGATTGCACCTGTTAAATAAAAATGAATATTGAATATTTATTTCGTTTGTTTGGAATTTATATTTGATGTTCTGAAAGGATTCCGAGTGAACGAGGAAGTTCAGTTTTACTTTAAGCGTGAGAAAAGAGGGTAAGTTAAATTTTTAAATGGAATTTAGTGTAAATTTTTATATGTTTACATAGCCTTCACTAAGCTGAGTAAGTTTCGTTTGAAATATTTCCGACAATTGTGCACGCATCGAAAGTTATAACGGCTTGAATGTTATTGGCTTTAGTGAAACACACCAATGTATGGTCAGACACTGTTGAGAAATCAGGGGGGTAAGTCTGTGATTTATCAGACGTACCTCATACCTGGCGATCTATAGACAGATTTAGAATGACAATAAACAACAGAATTCATATCTTCTATGTTCTCCGTACTTTAATTAATTTCTTGATTCATTAGTTGCATTAAATCTCTTGTTGAATAAATAACGAAATATAAAAATGAAAAACTAACATATCGTTCTGAACCTCCATAACGAATAAAATTATTCATAGCTTTGCTTACGATTACTATACATAAATTAAACACCAGTAATCTATAAGAATAATATAAATTATATCATTTTTATATCTGTCCATTCGAGTAATCTATTATTTTATGTTCTCCGTAGAATATATATTTAAAAAATACATTTAGGAGAACCACTACTCAAAAAATAAAAAGTATACGGTTATATAATTTAATATTATTTTTATAAGTAGAATCTGCGTAATTTTATCCTTACCTTGCTTCCTCCGGTTTCAAGTTTCGCGTTAAATTAAATACGTGAAAAATGAATGAAATTGCTTCATACAGTTGAAACTAATGCTTTCGAATGTGTTCGTAAAAATGTCCAATCTAATGGTAGATCACGATCCAAAATCACCGATTTCTGCGATAACTTAGTTACGCTGCAGCATTGCTAATAACGCGGTTTTCGATACACAGGATGAGAGCTCGGTCAAACTGAGAAGGTAGTCCGCCACAGTTCGTTAATTATCGCCAATTAATTTGAGCGTGCAGTGCTTATACGTTTACCGTTTCATTGTAACATGTGGAATGGGATAATGACGCAATTCCTGCGAATGTCATTCGTTATTGACAATTCGGCTGCGGACCGGCGGAACAGTGCAAATATAGATGCAATAGCTTTTCAGTACCGATTGCTAAATACGACTGAACGAATTCGTTTGCTAAAAATGTGTCAGTTCATTGAGCTACGTGTAAAATTTATTCTTGTGATTTTTTCATTAATTTAGAAAGTCTATGCGTATCATTGCTGAAAATAAGAAAATTATGCTTTGGTGAATATAATGATATAAAGTGAGTGTGGGTCAGTGTGTACGAGTAATGTGAAGATAAGTGTGGTATAAATGATGAAGAATAATAAAGTGTAATATAATGCTCGGTATATTTTATTAATTTCCCTTGTCTACAACTATTCCATTGACTTTCTATTACTTTAGTGGAGTGAAAATTAAGTACTGTTGTATACATTAATTAATTATTTATAAACCCATTTTTAACGTGAATATTGGAATACAAGTGTACATCGTGAAAAAATTAAAGTATTATTACGAAACTCGTGTAATTATGATGTATTATTTAAAATGTATGTTTACCACTGTGTCAATATTGTATATACGTGGTGGTGGTCTTGTTATCTGTGTTTGTTCCAGGTGCAGGTGGGCGCTATCTGTAAAGTAAAATGGTGGTAATAATAAAATATAAGAATTAAGTTCTCCTCAGAAAATTTTCAGATAAATTATAATAAACTTAATTGTAATTATAGAAAACAAAAATATGAAAAATAAATAATTTGATTGAAAACTGATTGATTGTGAAATAGTGTTCTTTTCATTCATTAGATTAATAAATTCTATCTAACAATTTTTGCTTCACACTGAGGAATGTTAAAGAATTAAATAGAATTAATCGATAATTCAATACTGTCGGTTTTTCACACATTACTATGCAAGATTGCTAGTCAAATCTGATAATAATTAGTTACTTCATAATAATAAAAACATTTAATAATTTCTCAAAGCTGCCATTTTATTAATACTTGATTATCAACAAACTTACAATTCTTAACTAGCTTTCCCCGTTAAGAGAAAAAACATGATTTTTATATCTATCATCAATGCAATCAGTTACACTTAGAATTTAAACTTTCCATCGACAATTCACTATGAACAAACTCCTTTGTGGTCCTTAACATGTGTATCTACAAGTTCGTAACCTTAAAAGTCTTTGGCTGTCTGAAATATGTCGCTAAACATTACTGTCGTCCACACAGTAAAGTACTATTTCGCATAAATAGTATAACGCGATTTCACAGGTGTATAAATTACAATGTGCTTAGCATAGCTAGGAACTCGGATCGGGAGCGTTACGAATGGTTAAAGCGATTAAATTAATCTAATTTTGATTATCGAAGGGCAGGGAACACCGAAGAGTATCCCTCTGCATCGAACAACGACTACCTGCTATTTGTTAGTCAGCGAATAACGAAGACTTAGTAAGCGTATTCGCACCGAGACGCAGTCGCATGCGCCACGAATATACTTAATCCCGATAATTCTGTCGTTAAATATAAATCAAGCTTTTATCGATGCGAACCCATCGCACCGGCCATTACGCGGACGCATTTAGGCCGCACAAAATTTCGCCGAATAACCGAATACAAGAGAGAAGAACGTGAAATCGTTTTCTTGTCGAACCACGTACCGTGAATTCGGTGACCCTAAAATTCATCTTGGCGGGCCGCGACACTATAGATCCTCACGTTTCGCCTCACTGGTTCGCACTGTTCTCTATGCACTTATAATATTCACCGGGCTACGACTAACCTAATTTACGATCGCATTCGGAATGCATCTGCTGGGCCACGGTATCGATTCGACAATTGTTTGTCGTTACTACACTGCGGATGTTTATACAAATACGGATTAAACGTGAACTTAAGTCTAAAATTCAACTGATTTCATAGACTCGTTGACTCAACGCCTTTATCGGGCTTAGAAGAAAATCCTATTTCAATTTTCTTCAATTAGATTCTATATGTTGTTCAAACAGTTATGCTATTATTACGAATAATTAAACGAAGATCACTTTTAAAACCTAATATACTTCATACCAGATGCGCAGGGGATTCACCGATATAACGGTTACCAATGACTGACTCGTATTCTCCGCTAAGTTCAAAATATTCTCCTTCCACAAGTTAAATTCCAAACAGCTATCTTATAAACGCATAAAATCCGCAGTTCAGTTGTTAACTCGGAAAATCGTAAAGCCACTAATATCTAAGTTATCGAACAATTTTATCAGACTTCCACAAGCTGCTCATAGTTTCACTTTTACATTCCAACTAAAATCGCCAAAAATCTTAGCCGCTGTTGCACTAAAGTGTTCGGACTATTCGGAATCCCGATTCGTTCTTTGTTTCGTCCGACGCGAACGGCCTCTCTTCTGTCGCGTCACAGCTAGTATCAATCGCTCCTGACTCCGTTCCTTTCACTCGCTGTCGGAGAGGCTGCCGACGTCGCGCAGCTTGTCGGTGTCCTTGTTAGCGTCCCCGTTGCTGGAGTCGGAGATCTTGCTGTAACCGTAGTTCAGCGAGTTCTTGCTGCGCGAGTACCAATTGACGATCAGGTAAACCGGCGGCGCGACAATCAGGACGGCCAGGTTGATCACGAAGAGGACCGACATCCTGTAGAACCACACGGTCGACTGCATCGTCCAGGATAAATCTTTCAGCACGCACTGGGAGTCGTTGATCGTTGAAAGCTCCGAGTCCTCGTAGCAGGTGCTGCACTGGCTGTCCAACGGGCCTGAACAGGTCAGGCAGCTGTAGTGGCAGGGCGAGCAGACCGCCTTTGTCTCATCGGCGACCCCGTAAGTCTTCGTCGGACACTCGTACACGCAGTTGCCGTTGTGGTAGTACCAGTTCGGCTTACACTCTGAAAAATTACATACATTTTTGATGGTCCTCCGTTCCCCGGTTGCATGGCAGACATTTTGCGGTGTGTATGTTTGTTGTGTGTTGTTAAAAGAGTGTCGAGTGGCTTCTGTTGACGTACAGATGACATTTTTCGATTTACTCGTAGCATCGGATTTCATTACTGCTGCTTGCTTAACGATGAACAGTTTTGGTTAATCGCGAAGAATACTTTGCGTTTGTTCTTTGCGATTAGAGAAGGAATACTTATACGTGCACTTAACGTGAATTGTTTCTGACGAAGAGTTGAGGATTCGAGGATATTTCATCTTTTACAGGACAAAGTTTCTGATATGAACATTTTGTGCCTTCGTTGCAGTGTTGATTGAAAGCTAACAGAGATTGATTGATCACTTTCTGTTTACATTTTTTATCCGCGTATTCTGAATTATATTAACAGCTAACATTATTACCTCGTTTCTGTCTCATTGAGAAATTAAAGTTCGATGAGAATAATTTTAAAAGGTTATCTCGAATGTTCGGAAGATCTGTTTTAAGGAATAACTGGAATCTCTACACCGGAAACACTGTTCCCTGTGGTTTTCATGGTATCGCGGGAATTTTAATTAAACCAGAATCAAACTAACCGCGTCGAAGAGTAGTTTTATCAGTGGCCGGTGGAATCAGTGAAATTGCGGCGTCACGTATAAGTATTCAATAATTATACGTTCCTCGAATGGCGTACAAAGTTTGCAGATTCAACCGCGATACAGTGAGTCGGATATTGAAGCAATATCTCCGTCGAGATCAAGTTTAGAACACTCCTCAGACGCGAGGTATGTTTAGAGCACCTTTATGCAGTTAATGCAAATGTTGGTAAACCTACGCTCAACGAGGAACAATCGAGGATCCCGAATTACGGTACGAATTAATGGCTATGGAAGCCAGAAACGAGTAATTGCTTGTAACTATAGTTTCCCCGGCATTTCAATCGGCATCAAATATCACTGCAAAATTTCGGGAACAACGTCATCCGTACGGGAGATTACTCAGATTGCCAATTCTATGCGTTAATTCATTTCCGAGGCTTGATAAAAGTACCGATATACTTTTCATTCGATCGAGTATCCACAGAAATCGGATATAATCGAATATTCGCATAAAAATGTGCAGTCTCAATAATCGTTTTTGTGTTCGTCTTCTCGTGTTTCTGTGTATTTGTCTTGAAAAAAATGTGATTTAAGTATAGTTTCACATAAAAAAATATATGTTACAGGTTATGATGGATATTGCTTAAAACTAAATATACATTTACGCGACAACGACGCGTTAGAACTTAAAGATAAATAAATATAAATAAAAAGTATTCTCGCGTGAATTAGGCCTCGGTGAATTGCAAAAATGTATTGTCAATTCTGAACGAACTTTCGAATCGTTTGATGGACATTTGAAACGTTTCCAATTTGGATTCGCCCAGCCCTAATGTGAATTCGTATCGATTTTGT